TATTTTTCATTTCCAATGAATGATTTCTGAAGTCAGCCTGCAACTTGGACCATTTCCCTCTGATAGTCTGGAAGCTAGACCGAACGCTGAGAACGAAATTTCCCTGCAACTCATATCTGACTCGGGGACCGATTGTCCTCACTGGGGCCTTTCACGGGTTTCCTAGGTCACTCCAGGCATATGCCTGGGTAGTACCTTAAATTATAACACGGCCACTTCCTTCCAGATCCTTTCCAGTTCATTATTCTTTAATTATCCTATGTGATCCGAAGTGCTGTTAAGTGATCTGCAGGGGGGTATTTCATGATACTACGAGATGCAAACCCTGGACCTTCCGAATACGAACCGGGTGAGATATTTATTAGACTGTGACGTTCAGTAAAGAAAATAAATAACAAAGTGAAATGAACAACCAACGGCAATTTGCGAATTAATCTTTGATCAACAAATGCGCACGTTTCATAAAGCAGCAAATTTATTTATGCCACTAGACGCTATCCTGTGCCAGTTTAATCCATCCACCCCGTGTCTCTAAGCTTCATTTTAATATTATCCTCGCATGTGCTTCTAGTACGTGCAAGTGATTTTCTCCTCTGTAAAGGGAAATTCTAGCCGAGTGCGCTCTGGTGCACGAAAACCGCATTTCAGCCCCTCAGGCCTCGAACAGGTGCTCCGCCCGGCCCCCATTAATTTTAAATATGATCTGCAGATAGTTTTGTTTTGTTCAACAAACTTTCCTCTTTAACTTGAAAAGTTAGAGTTAAAAATCTCCAGTGTCACTGTAACTTCTGAACTTTCATTTCGGCATTAAAATTGAATTTGAATGAAAAACTGTGGGACTCTGGGGCCACCGAGATAAATCAAACAAATGCGAGTATTGTTTCCTTAATAATGCATTATGGAGTGTAACTCCCTGCAGATATTGTGTTCATTCGTCATGAAACTTCTGACAACTTAAAAAAAAAGTACGGAAAGATCTTGCCACAAAAATTCAAAATAAAATTTCAGCTCTTAGAAGCACTGACGTAACCGTGGACCATTGAGGACAAACTGGAAATATGAAAATATTAGCGCTCATATTATCTGGGCAGTTGGCAGATTTTACAATAGGCCATTTCACGATGCTGTATCAACTGTAACACTCCAGTCAGTGAAGTAACTACCTGCGGTACGCACGGCAGGGGTTCGTTTCCTGACAGAGGCACTAGTGTGTCCTGAGGGCTCCTTCTCTGGGGATAAGTCGGCCGGAACGTGAAGGTGACCACTCGACTTTGGGTAGTGTCGGAGTCTAGAATGGCCGAAGCTTTCATAGAATAGCGTAAATAAATGGCCGCGGCCTCGGCATTTGTCAACCGCGAAATGAAAGGCGTCATTAAACTCGGCTTCAGAGGCAGAGTTTCACGCAGTTCCGAGGAAGACACGTGTAAGACGCCTTGTGGCCGTAAAACTCAACGAAGACCACGTGGGAGACTGTCGCTTACATACGAGGGTAATATTAAAATGGTTGTTAAAGAAATCAAGTAGAAGGATGTGGAGTGGATTAATCTGGCTGGCAATAAGGACCTGTGGCAGGCTTTTATAAACACAGTACTAATTAAATCTTCAGTTTTACAAAGGAGTGGTGATTTCGTGATCTGCTGAGTGACTGTAAGCTTCTCAAGGAGGACCCTGCAGACGAACATAGTAGCACTCGGTTGCAGATTAGAGACTGCGAGTCAGAGATTACAACAACTTCAAGATTGCGAGGCAGGTGTTGATGCTGCGCATGGCGTTAGGCGTACACTTGCAAACGAGCAAAGTACGAAGTATTTGCTAATACAGTTCTGTTTTAAAAAAAATTATCCCTGTGATTCGACAAATAAACTTAGGAATAAACTTCAACATAATCAACGTTTCTCATTCATTTTACGTTGACGCTTTGTATTGTAACAACGTGAAATACACTTTAACTACTAAATCAAGTTATACGTTTCATTAAACTCGTCTCAAATTTTAAACTTTTGGAACTTCGCACTGCTCGTCCGGCCTTGCAGAGGAAACAGCCTCACAAAAATCCGTTGCCGCAGATAACGCTCAGCTACAGTTCCACGTACTCTTCTCGCAAGATAGCGTATTGTTGCCATGGTTTCAGATATGTACACAATGCCACGTCTGAAACTTCTCCTACACTACGGAAACAGTATGATAATGGTTACTGGGAATTCGCGAGGGACAGAAGTCCAGGATCTGCTGAATTCTCCTATAATGACGCTTTGTGTGGTCCTTTCACCCCCCCCCCCGCTCGGGGGGGGGGGGGGGGGAGAAAATCGAAAAAGTACGTGTGACTCTACGTCCATCCGATTTCCATTAAATTGGGTATCGTAAACTTACACTGAACTCTGTGCTTCCTTTTTGAATTTCGTGTAGTTTAGTTCGTTCGGAAAACTTTTCTAGTTGAGGCTATTAACTAACATTTATGCCTGTTTTCGGACAGATTCGGACACATCACCTATTTCTATAAACGTCTTTCCACCAGAAGAACTGCGAAAAGAACACGAAGAATGTAATTTCGTATAAACACGCTCTTCATACGAATCACAAACTCAACTTTTTCAGGTGCCACGAAGACAGGCCTTTGCTGACTTATTATTATTATTTAGTGTTCTGTCTGAGGACAGGTCCATATGAACAGGATCCTTCCATCCTTTTCTCGGACTGGGACCTGTTCATATACGTTCTTGGCAGATGATCCAGAAGTGGTTTGCCATTGCCTTCTTCTGTGTGTGAGTGGAGTAATTGTTGGGATGCCACGGAGAAACCGGGGAAGCCCCCGTGTTGCCTAGACCACGGCCTTGCCCAACACAAGTTATAAATTCGGGCACCGTCGGGAATCGAACCCGATGACTTACGCTCCACTAAGTCTCGAAACTTTCATTTTAGGCAGTTTCTGAGCTGACGAATATTTGAGGTCGCCTCTTCAAGTCTCGGCCTGGATTCTGTATAACCTCATGATCTCTTCCCTCCGTGTTCTTTACAATTCATTATTCAGAGTTCGTCCTATCATCCGATTAGTTCGAGCTACTGACATCGTCGTTAAACAAATCACAAGCAACAATTTGACGGGACATGAATCGAAAGTAATTTCGGAGTCAGTTCCACATGATTCTCCTTCCTGTGCACCGAGAGATTTGGTCACATAACAAACGAATTTCACGGGGAACGATGTTTCGAAAATCGCACACAACGCGTGTCCTCCTGTGGAGTACCCACAGCTTACACAAAGCGGAAAGGTCGAAGCCCGCATGTTGCTTATCTACCGCCGCCATGTTACTGGGGCGTCCCTCTGTGTTACCCCGCGATAAGATTCGTCGTCATGGCCACGCGTCGTAACTCATTTGTTTCATGCGATTGCTTTGTCTGGACAAAGCTGCAGAATGCTGACGTTTGTGACGCGCGCAGACATCAGGTGTTGACCAGGAAAGTTCAGTACATTCGTTGAGGTCACAGCCGTGAGATGAATCTGCTATGAGCCTTGTGATCTTCGTTTGTTTCCTGTGTCGGCTCGCAGAAGGTTTCTGATTTTTTGTTGTTGTTGGCCCAATAGAACGCGACCGAAGCGGGTATTTTTGAATCGCGTAAAATATGGATTCCCATTTTGAGGTGAAGGAACATATTAAAATAACTCCTAGAATTCCCCAATAACCAATGACTGGTCACGCTTAGTGACAACATCATTACTGTTCTGAGGTTAAAAAAATTCTCCGAATCTTGTGTGTCGCGGGACATATATGTCGCAGGAAGAACGCACTGTTTAGATTGTCTGTCAGCCTGCGTAGCTGCCAACAGCACAGCCACTTCGTTTAAACGAGTTAAAAAGTAGAGCGGATAAATTAATTTGTTACTGCAACTGAAAGTTACTGCGGGTCTGAGGAGCTGCGTGCTAAAAAATCAGATTAAAGCATTTCCTCCCCTCCCACTTCAGTGACAAGAGGGAGGTTTCGCCCCCTGTTCGTACCCACAGACCCGAAAAAAAGGTTAACTCCGCTCCGCGCGGCTCGAGTTCAACTGGTTACCGTGGCAACGATGACGAACGAAAGTGAAGGTCGCTGCCAACATTACAGGATCCGGAAGCGCGTTCAATCACAGAAAATGTGTGTGTGTGTACAACAATTTCTCATCTCACGCGGTTTGTTTAGTCAGGCGAAGGCAAAGTTGTGACTGGTGCTTAATTAGAGCACATAACAGGTTAGCTTTGACTACCGATCTAGGGGGGATTAATTACTGGCAAAGTTGTGACTGGTGCTTAATTAGGCACATAACAGGTTAGCTCTGACTACCGAGGGGTGATTAATTACAGGCCGGTTAACGGAGTGTCCTACTCGTTCTGACGATGCGATTTGCCTGCAGGATTGCTGGGAATCTTTAATAAAGGAGAATTTTATTCCGACGCGCCAATAGTGCACATTCTTAGACTCCTATTATTTTGGTGGGTTGGGGGTAGAACAGCTCGAGGACAGCAAAGGCTGGTGAGGTTAGGTTAGGTACAGGCGGAAGGAACAAGCAAAGAGAGAGAAAGACATAAACGTGGAAGAAAGAAACAAGGAAGAGGCAGGTAGACAATGCAGTGCACACAGACAACGGAACATAAGTAGGGGAGGAGGGAGGAAAAGCCAAGTTGGTGAAGGTGTCGTGGTTGAAACAGTGAAGGAGTGCAGCAGAGACTCGTTATTTCTGTGTGGTCAGTTTGCTCGCAGTCCTGCGTTCAGGACTAGGACCACGTTTTACCGCTTAATAGTATGTGCCTGGACCCTTATCGAAAGGAAAAGGGAGAGATAAGAATGCGCCCTGCACTGTGCGTGGGTGTTAAAGGCGCACCGAAGGAAGAGCAGGCTGGATCGCTCAGCTAGCCAATTGACTCCTTTCCGTTTCTGCAAGCATCAACCAAGCTGTCGTTGTCATGGAAACGCGTTGCCACGTACTGAATCTGTAAATACAATTTAGATCTCCATTTTTCTTTTCAGGGCCGGACAACATGACGTAATAACTGCTGCCATCTGCTGGCCGCATGACGTACCTACCATGACGGCAAACCCGTCGGTGTATCAAGCGGGGTGCGTGAGGGGTCGCCCTTTGTCAACAATAGAGCTCCTCGCCCCGGACAAAACAGACGCAGAGGCTGAAGATGGAAGGCGAACCAATGAAGACCTTGTCGGGATTTTCACCCTCTGCGAGAACGCCGCCGGAATTGAGAACGGGGCGTTCGAACTGGGATCGACGCTCACAGTCGACAACAGCCAGTCGAGAGCCTCGTACCGCGAGTTCACACTTCCCGGCGAAAATAAGGGCTTTGAAATCGTCGGTGGCCGAGAAATTATCGCGGAGCAAGGCGACGACAATCACGAACACCGACAATCCGGAAGTGTCGCGACAGAAATTCAACAATCAGAGGACGTGCAAAGCCAGTCGACGCTTTCCACGGAAAACTGCAATGTCAAAACAAGTGAAGATCTGCGCGCCAACATTGATATGAACACCGGAGCGACAATCAAAGGCCACGAGGCACTGAAAAGCGGCAGAGGGTCCCCTGTGAGGTCGAGTTGGCTGCTTGACGGCAACGTCAGAAGGAGGGACGACACCGTCTGGAGGCGGCGGAAGACGGATCCCTCCGGGGAGTTATGTGCCAACTACTCTTACCACCGCGACTACCAAGAAGCGCTGTCGTCGCTTCTCTGGGAACCATATGAATGCAGGCAGCCAGAAATGTCTCCCCACCAATCAGCGTTTGGGGTCGGAAGTGCAGTCGACGACGCCGACGTTTCGGTGTGGTTGTACCCCCCACAGTCGTCGCCATCGTCGTCGCCCTCGTCCTCCGTGTCCTCAGGTTCTTCGTCGGCGGTCATCGGGACAGTGACTATTGTTGGCGACGGACGCCTGTGGAGCAAGGCCGCCAGGGACCCGTCAAGCTCCTCCCTGAGGGCTCTGATTCTATCGAACAGCAGTAGCAAGGACGACGAATTGGCAACACCGCTGCCGACCGGTAACAATGGTTTCAATAGAAGCGAAGTGCGGTCAGAACCGGTAGATGGCAGCTCCAGCTGCGGCAGCGATAAAGTTGGCAACGTCACTGACGACCCAAATCAACAAGAAGAAGTAGAGGAATCGCGAAGAAGACGCAGTTCTTGCGAGGATGCGGTTGGTGACCTCAATACGCGGTGGGCTGTAACAGCTCCGCCAGAGGCGCTGGTGTCGTCGTCGGCGGAGGACCGCTGTGAGTTGTGTTGGCAGGAGTGCAGCCAGTGTGAGGCGAGGCAGGCCAGAATGCTGGTCAGTGTCGAGGGCTCGGATGCCAGTGCTGTTGTTAGTGTTAGTGCTAGTGGTGCAGTGACAACGACCAGCAGCAGTGTTAGTGTCGTCAGTTGTTACCGTGCAGTGCCAGCTGTAGTGTCGGCCGTGCCCACGATCTCGTGTCTCAACGTGTCACATGTCAACGTCGAGGCGGGTGTCAGTGCTGCCAGGGGCAGGACTTTCGCGTCCACCGAGGCTCAGACCGACGACGTTGTGGTCGAGCCTGTGACTCCGCCCTCGAGGGCCAACAACAATCGGGAACAGAGACGCCGTGAGCGACGGGAGAGGCGCCACCAGCGACGCGCCAACAACTCCAACCCCCCGCAGCAGCACGAACCCCTCTGGCAGACACTGGTCGTGGAACAGCCCCCCGTGGGCAGCGCCGGGGAGAGGTTGCCGGACATACTGAACTCGCACCTCCCGCCACCCTATTCCACTTTGCCTCTTGGACTTCCGCCCCCGAGCCATGTGGTTCATCCTCATCTTCATCACCCGCCTCCACCGCCACCTCCAGTGCCGCCTCCCTTACCTGTTCCAGTGCCACCTCCGATGGCTGTGCCTGTCACGACTGCCGCCCCCGGATCTCCACATCACCACCACCATGGAGGGATGAGGTTTCCCTTCCAGATCACCGCCGGCGGCAGAAGAAGGTGAGTCCACCCACGCCCAGAGCGTGTAACTTGGTCTGAGCCCGCGGCTTGAGGGTGTTTTAGTACAGGGTGCTGAGGGGGACAGTGGCTGGCGTTCCAGGAAACTATAATTAGATTCTTCGTGGTTTGAACTACTCGACCAGCGTGAAGACGGAATGCGTGGAGCAGCTCAGACTTTGCAGCGTCGAATGATTTAAGGTGCTATCCCGGAACTTGCCTGTAGGAATTGATGAAAAACACGAATAATGTCAGGGTTCAGGATATCCGGCCTGGGGACCGAGATTGCAACCCGAGACTTCCTAAATACCAAGCAGGAGTGATAATCGCTTGGCCGCGACGTTCGGTATATTAAAGTCGATCTCATATCTTAGACGATTGGATTGAACTGCCTTAGGACGAGGCCAGTGGCCTTTAGATGCTGTAAAATGCAGGGACTTCCTTGGTCAGAAGGGTGACAATCAGCTTCTCAAGAAGGAGTCTGTGTGCCACGAGACTCTCTGCTCAGCATAACCATTTTTTGTGTTTCAAGTTCCTTACTATTGTTCTCTGTTATAAATGATCGCTGCGTATCGCTTCTCTGCATGTTTTATCACATCTTATTTTTACAAGGAACTAGGTCTTGTTTGCGGATGAAATCTCTTGCCCGCTGAAATGTTTGGAACGACACAAAAGCAAAATGACTTTCTTTAATTTGTTTTGTTTTTTTGTCCCACTATACGCCACGTACGTGCTTGGTGGGGGGGGGGAGGCGGTATAGCTCCTACTCATTCTAAACCTCGGCTCTAGATAGGGATTAACAGATCTGTACTGACTGAGCTGCCCCGGCTCCTTACTTGAATTTGGTTATAGAACAACAAAGCAGGTCCCACCATTTTCACGTTCCGCACGAGATATGTCGTCTTAAAACACGGTCAGTTTGATGTGTGTTTATTCGGTCTTAGAGATCAGATCCAGTAATTAAAGTTGCGACTTTTCAACAGTATGAACTTTTCGTTGCCATGGGAAGACGGGGAGAGTACAACTCTTGCTTCAGTAATCCGGTTCACTGCAAGCCTCTGTAACGTGTTGTACGTTGTTATTGATTTTCCAAGGTGTTACAGCTCGGACCCTGCATCGAAGTCACTTCCCATGTTTCAGGAGACTGTTGAGCCCTTATAGCACTGAGAAATTTGGAGACGTTCACTCCAGATTCGTTTTAATCCAACTTAACACTTTGAGAACACGGACAAGAGGGCAGGAGAGTTACATGCTTCTTTGCTGGACGGTTACCTCTCTTACATGATCCACCAGGGCCCCTTCCACCTTCTAGTGACCTGTCTCTTGCTGTTTGGACGATGATACTTCCGGTGAAATGAGAGGTAAATGCTGTTTTCATTTCGTCTGTTCCACCCTAAAGTGCATTGGGTGTTTCTTCTCGGTGATTTAAATTATTTTAATAAGCAACAGCGTGATGTGGAATTCGCCCCTTTTGCAGCGAAGTGTTCAGTTTGTTCTTCACTCCGCAGGCTCGCCGCCCGAGCCTTCGAACACTCGTGACCCTAGTTATGAAGCATCCTGTGGTTCTTTGTGCAAGCTACGAAGTGAAACCCTCCCGCCCGCCCGCCTGCCTGGAGTCCGTAGAAACACATCAGTTGGTTCAGTTCGTAATTGCATCACCGTTTCGCGCTGTTTTACAAACTTCAATCCAGATTACGTCAGTCCAAAGGCAGGTTACGAAGTGCAAAGGGCGCATGCGTCAACAGTATTGTGCTAAACCAGTTAAAGCGAGTGGCCACGGCATTCCCGTCCTGGATTCGAATCTCATGGTTCAAGTGCACACACTTGTCTGTTGAAAGCCAAAGTTCTAACAGCTCCTAATAGGAAGAAAAGGCGCCTACAGCCGCTAAACGTTTCCTGTTCTAATGAAGCTAATCGTTACGCACAACGTATGAAGGCTGCCACGTCTCGCCGTCAGCGTTGCTGCTTACAGTCTGTGAGGGCGACTGACTGCCTTGTATCGATTAAATCCCCTGAGCTGATTGTTTTAACCTTGGAGAAACTAGTGGTAACTATGTGTGCCACCCGCTTCGACAGTCAGTAATTCTTTATTTTGCATTTCGTATGATTGCCAATGGAAACAGCGTTTATAAGTTGATCTTCGTAATTGTGAGGTGCTGTGTTTTCTTCGCGGTACGGTCTGAATTCTTAAATTTCAGAGGGTCAGTACGCGCCGATTTTATCCTCTGTTCCTTCTCACGACAGGAAGACGTATGGAAGTGGCGGTAGAGCTCCACGCCTGATGCACATTGGTCAGAAGGCTGGGTGGGCTCCAGAACAGGGTTGGTCGTCGAGAGGAAACCGGCCTGTGCCAGAAATCCAGCCCCTGTCATCCAGCACTTGGCTGGTGACTGGATGATATACGTTCACGGCGAGTCAAGTGTTTACAGCATCTCAGACAAATGCGGGCGATATGCTTCAAGGTCCGGTGCAGGGTGGGGAAGGTCAATAGGACATCCGTTACTTACTCGGACACGTGAGAGCGGTCGGTCAGGCAGGAGGTTGGCGTAGACCGAGAACATTCAGAGAGGACGGATGACGAGCTGAGGATACTTTTTGCAAAGATCAAGAAGGAGATGGTCCTTGAAGCAGATTTTTAGAGAAATAAGATGTGAAGATGGATGACAGGTGGATGGTACTCTATGAACGTTGAAGTCCTGAACATTTAAATTATTGTCCTTGTCTGTGAAGATGGGAACGGTGAATAACATTCTTGTCCTCGCCGCTCAAGCCGCTTTAACCCCCTTCCGGTACAAAAAGATCGTACCTCTGCCGGGTAACCAAACCTGGTAGTCCCGGTCAGTAGATATGACGGACAGAACGTATGACATTGAGGCAGTCGTCTGTGATCGAGTTTAACAGAGAAAGTGTTGACAGTTGCAGTGTAATTGGTTAATTGATCGGGTAAGCCAGCAGACAGGTAGAGCAGCTCAATCGAAGCAAAGAACGTTGTTGCCATGACGACCGCTCGTAGTGATCGGGCTAAAGTAATTGACATGCGTTCCAAATTTAATTGTAAATATCGGGGGCTTCACGGGTTGATGAAGCTCAGGCGTGTGGGGACGTAACCCCGCAGATTATTCTGAAAAAAAAATACGTGGAATCGATTCCCGGTCTGTTGGTTCTGGAGCCTACACGAGAACCAAAGAGCTCTGAGCGCGAAGATGAGCCTATGAATGCGTGGAGATATACCTCCATTTCTACGCATGCGTTTGTATGACGGCGCTCAGATACTTTCATCTTCAATTCTCGCACGCACCAACCAATGTCACGCACGAAAATTGACAGGACGTGAAAGCAGGCAGACGATAGGACAGAAAACACAACCTTTTCTTCTTTTAAATAAAGTCGCTGCATTCCTTTGTGTCATGTGAGCCTGTTGCGGTGATATCACGTGACTGTTTCGAGGACCGCTGGGACGTGTACGTGTCATTTGTTCTGTTGCGAAAATTTGGTGTCTTGTTTTTGGGAGAGCGAAAGTGGCGAAGAGAAAATTCGGACTCGACATTAAGGCGGACACAGATTTTGTGGCTTGAAATTGGATGGAACTGGCTCAGGATCGTGTGACTCGGCGGGGTCTGTGTTATACCTGCAGCAGAGGGACAATATCATTGCCAGTATTACCAGCTTAAAGTAATTAATTACTATTGCAATTTGCAACTTGATGTTCCAAATCTGAACAACAGTGAAATTAAATTTCCACAGCATAAAGAAGCATTCAGATGACGTCACGTGATTAGAGCGTCAGTGTTAACACAACTTAAGCGCTCAGCCAACCAGAGATTTATCCCACCTATAACCAATTTGGGATGAAGACGTCACTTGTAAGTGGGGAAATAGGAAGATGTTTTTATAAGTTTCGAAGCTGAAGGCACGTGTTTGGCTTCTTGATGTATGTAACTAGCGACAGAGGGCGTTCCTGTTAATTGGTCTGTCCGAAAATAATAAGTTTATTCACACTGGTTGCTCTGCTAAGCTGTGAACCCTGCTCCCGGTTACTGAGCTCATTATCAGCTATCTGGGAGGGACGCAGCCCTCCGGAAATCACGCTAACAGGATTTCTGGACGGATCCCAGCCAAATTGGAATCTGTCTTCCTCAGTTAAATTCGACGTAATCCGATCGCGGCGTGACGTGGCGTGGCTTTTTGCACGCCGAGTTTCGATAACACCGCGTGCACTTTCGCTTTTCGCCTCAAGATTCCGTTTCTTGTCTGTCGCCCGGCGAGCGGCTTTGGGGACGCGAGACGCCGACGTCGTTGCTCAATCCATGAGCCATCGAAACGTGTGCCGAAGCTCCACCCACTCTGGAGGGCAGTTTGCACGTCTTATTTGGATCTTGAAATGGAGGAGCATGAGATGGGAGGGACATGTAGCGCGCAGAATTTCGTTTGGGCAGTTGAGATGGGAGGGACATGTAGCGCGCAGGGGGGAGATGAGATGAGATATTCACGCAGAATTTCGTTTGGGCAGCCTGGAGGGTATAGAGACCATTCTGAAGTCCGAAGCACGGATGGAAGTGCAATATTGAAACGGATATGAAAATATTGGATTCGTGTGGCTCGGGATAGGAACCATTGGCAGGCTCTTGTGGACACGGGCTCCATGAAAGACGAAGAATTGTTTTTACTGGCTGAGCGACTATCAGATCCTCGAGTGGGTGCTGGTTATATTCAAATGCTGTAACTTGAGCGACACCAGCGCCACACGCGCTTCCGGCACTGACGATATGTGAAGCCGCAGAATTAGTTGCGGTCAGCAGAAATTCGCGGTTCGATGCTCACGTGTTTTGCCTCCTGCTAACCGAGGGAACAAGCGGCTACACAGCACAGACAATGAAGACAATTCATCGCCGCCTCTCTTATCCCTGTTATTCCTGTAATTCTCCTCATCTGCTCTCTTCTCCTACATTTTCGTTTCCCTCAACCTGCCTTCGTTCACTTTCCTTTTAATCCGCCTATTCTCT